GCTTGAACAACAGTTCAAATCAGAAGTTTCTTTGCTTTCTAGACTCTATCATCCCAACATAGTGCAGGTAAATACTTTAGGCTGGTTTTCCAAATCTTCTATAACCCTAACTGAGTTGTTTACAATTTACAATCATTCTCTAACAAGTTTGAAACATCGATGCTATATTATGGTTCAATGTTCACACCGAACAATGATCCGTGTTTTTTAAAACAGTATATGTACACGTGCAAATCCACAAACGTAATTAAGTTAAAAGACACAAACCCATGAAATTAACCATATCGAGTTCGAATACCCTAGTTTGGTTCGGTTTATAGATACCCGACTAATTAGTTTGTTTCACACAAATTAAAATTGATGGTTATGTATGTTCGTGACTATAGGAGTCTAATCCAATTAAATTGTCCACATATATATATATATATATATATATATATATATATATATATATATATATATATATATATATATATATATATATATATATATATATATATATATTTGACTATATATATCATTTTTAGAGTCACGGGTTTGAACATATTTATCTCGTTATATCTATGAAAGAATCAAAATAAAGGATTTAAACCATGGAAGTATGTTTATCTTGCAAAGATTGAAACTTTATTATTTCAATTAAACGAATAACAAGTATTTGAAAGAATTGAAGAACGTTATATATAAAATACATACTTCATTTCATCCCTTAATTAATACTAGTTATGAATGTCGTTAAGTTGGTGATCTCCAAAGTTTTGTGTGCAGCTTGTAACGATTGCCCGTTCTTTCTCTACAGTTCATCGCAGCTTGTAAAAAGCCTCCAGTATATTGTATCATAATGGAGTACATGTCACAAGGGACACTAAGGATGTACTTAAACAAGAAAGAACCATACTCGCTCTCAACGGAGACTGTATTGAGGCTTGCTCTAGACATATCAAGAGGAATGGAGTACCTTCATTCTCAAGGGGTAGTTCATCGAGACCTAAAGTCAAACAACCTGCTCCTTAACGACGAAATGAGAGTGAAGGTGGCTGATTTTGGGACCTCATGCCTTGAGACACAAACACAAGAATCAAAAGGAAATATGGGGACTTATCGATGGATGGCTCCTGAAATGGTGAAGGAGAAAGCTTATACTCGAAAAGTTGATGTATATAGCTTTGGGATCGTATTATGGGAGCTCATAACTGCTTTGCTCCCGTTTCAAGGGATGACTCCTGTACAAGCTGCATTTGCAGTAGCCGAAAAGGTTAGCCTTATATATACCACAACAACAAATTAAATCTTCGTCTTGTTTTTGGAAGAATTGATCACTTTCTTGCTCTTTTTGATTTGGGCATGCATTTGACAGAATGAACGACCACCACTCCCTGCAAGCTGCCAACCGGCCCTTGCACACCTGATCAAGCGATGTTGGGCAGCAGAACCATCAAAGCGACCAGATTTCACAGAGATCGTTCAGGCTTTGGAGAAATACGATGAATGTGTGAGGGAAGGGCTTCCACTCACTCTTCACTCCGGACTCATCACCAAAAACATGATACTGGATCGTTTGAAATGTTGTGTGGCTATGAGCTCAAATTCGATACCTGTACATGCTTAAGTCGTTTTTTTTTTCCTTCGGTTCAATTCTATTTCGAAATACTAATTTAATTATAAGTAGGCAACATTATTTTTTATGATTGGTATATATTTAAAAGTTCATGCTTGACTTTTGTGACTCTTTTATTTTTGGTGAGTTAATGAATATATTAATACGATACAATATATAACTAATTGTGAGACTCGTGTATAAAATGTATTAATTTAAAAAAAAAATTAAATAGGAAGGTCAAAATATTTAAAAACTTTGAATTTATAAGAAAATAAGAAAAATAATGAATTATTATAATAGAAATGTTTTTTCTCTTTAAAATTTAAATAAATAAAATAAATTAATAAACTTTAATATTAAGAATTTTGAAATTAAAAGGTAACTTCATTAATAAAGATGATATTCATTTATTACTATATTTATTGTAATTATTATATTAAAATATCATGTGAAATTTAATAAAATAGAAAAACTCATAAAATAGATTAGAGGGTTTGAAATGTTTCATTAAATTTGAATGTACCCATACATGCTAACATTACTAGAAAAAAGTGTCGTTATCGACGGATTTCCTACCTTTATACACACCACTAACCACTATATTGGTGGGTGTCACATCATCATTATCACTAAACCTTTGAGATACCTACCACTAGGGGTGGCAATAGATGACACGACACGATAAAAATACACGACACGAAAGGAAATTGGGACAAAACTAAAATTCAAATTCGTGTTTGTGTCAAGTGTAAAAATGTAACATCTGGATTTCCAGGTATATTATTTTAATCATTTATTTTTGAGTTTTGTGGAAGGACTCAGCGAGTTGACACTTAGACTCGTCGAGTAGGATCGCGAGTTCTTGATTAGATTAATGACCGGACTCGACGAGTCGATTTGTGGACTCGACGAGTCCACGCTGTAAAGTGAAACCCTAATCCCCGGGCTTGGGAGCCTATTTAAGGACCCTTATGGCCTTTATTTGTGGCCACCTTGTTCCAGAGAAACCCTAGAGAGCAGAGATAGTGAGTTTGAGGGCAAGAGGAGGCTATTTCTTCATCTTTTGTGTGGTTTTGCTAGAGAAAGAAGAGAGGATCCATCTAGGTCGTGAAGGGAGCTTGGATTGGAGCTAATCACCGTGAGATATTGTCTTTGGATGTAAAATTCTTTCCATTTCATGTTCATATGGTGGGTTTCATAGTTTTAGGGTTTTTCCTTATGATTTTATGAGATCTAGTGAGCATAAGGTCCCCTTAGTATGAATAACATCAATCTGGACCAGGAGAGGTCCCTAGAGACATTATCTTCCAGCTTTTTGCAAGCAAGTAAGGAATTGGAGACTAGGTTGCCATTTCTAGTATTATTTCTCCATTTGAGGCTTGATATGGGTTGTATGCACGTAAAGGTTGCACCTTTACGTGACTTTTGAGTGTTTAAAGGTTAGATATACGAATTGGCTAAGCAGGTATGACCTTATGAGGTTGTTTGAGCAAGTCCATGGAGGAAACTAGTCGAGTTCATATGGGGACTCGACGAGTCGGACTGGGTTGCCCCAGGGTCTGACTCCAGTGATGACCCGGTGAGTTGAGGGGTGACTCAGCGAGTCGAGTGAGGACCAGGGGAAGAGGACATGCATGGACTCGCCGAGTCACACGAGTACACTCGGCGAGTCTGGTCAATGTTTGACCGTTGACTTTTGTTGACTTTTAGGGTCTGGTCAACTTTAGGGTCTTTGAGCCATGAAAGGGGTAAAATGGTCTTTTACCCTCCTGAGAGTGATAAGAGAGGAAATGGTCTAGCCTTGGGAAATGTATTGATGTAGAGTGTTTATTTTGTATGATAGGCGGAGGCTAGACCCGATTTCACAGAGTTCGAGATTACCGAGTTACCCGAGGTGAGTCTTCTCACTATACGTTACCTAGAGTGGTATTTATGTGTTGACTGGAGGGTCTTATGTGCTATGTGATATATGTATGTTATATGATTGTATAGACCGGACCAGAGGGTCCAACGATACAGACCGGACCAGAGGGTCCAACAATACAGACCGAGCCGAAAGGCCCAACGAGCTATGACCAGACCAGAGGGTCTAACGAGCTACTGGACTGGAGGGTCCCGCTGAGACACATCGACCGAAGGGTCGTACTGTAGTCTCGAGAGGCGTAAGTGTTGTATGCGGTATATTGGGGAACTCACTAAGCAATTATGCTTACCGTTGTTGTGTTATGTGTTTCAGGTACTAGTGACGACCATGGGAAGGTGCCGGTGTGACCCGTACACACACAGTCAGAGGATTTCAGTTATGATCTTGGGATATGTTTTATTTGATAACAAGTGTTGAACATGTAAAATTGGAAAATAAAAAATTGTTTTGAAAATTTACGTTGTTACAAAAAAAACACGACGTCGTGTCGTGTCGTGTTTGTGTTCAAAATTCGACACGAAATTGACGCGATTTAGCATTTGTATATCGTGTTATATATTATTAAGTATTAATTAAATAAACTAATTTTATTTTAATTTATCTTTGTCGTGTTGTGTCATGTTTATCGTTTTTTAATTGGTCCGTATTCGTGTTAGTTAAAAAAAACACAACATCGTGTCATGCTGTGTTCGTGTTACTTAAAAGATTGTCGTGTCGTGTCTTGTCAAACAAAAATACGACACGATGGCCCGATTCGCTACCCCTACCTACCACTACCATTCTACCATACCATTCCACCTAATTTTTTTTAATTAAATTTAACAAAAATATATATACAAAATCTAAATACAAAAAAAACATATATTTTTTAAAATTGTTTTTAATTCAATTAAAAGACATTACATAATTTTAAAAAAATCAACTAAAATAAAATAGGAAAAAAAAACATTAAAATGCACGCACAAAAACAAATTAAACTAGTTTCTAAAACCCATTTTTTTAATTATCTCACCATGGAGTCTCCTTAAAATTTTGCCAAGCTTTGAGGTGTTTAAACGATCTATGGTTTATTTCTTTATATTGATGTATGACCACAACAACCAGATTGTCTTCGTGTGCGTTGTTTATAACATAGTTATAAAATCCGTCGAACTCGCGACATGTTACCCTCATAAAGCGAAACTTAGAACATATTGCATCCAGATTACGACTATGCCACCCATTAAATTATGGAAAACGTTTCCAACTATAGCCTAAAAATCTGTGGAAGTTCGACTATCTGAGTCTTCCGAAACCATCACCCATGCCAGTGCTAACTTATCTTCTTCCTCTTCCAACCAGCTCTGCATTTTGAGAGCCATGGTTTTTGAAAGTGAATAAAGGTAGAGAGAAAATGTGTGAAAGAGAATGCTTTGAGTGTATAGGTTGTTAAATTGATGTGTTCATATATAGGTAATGTTTTTAGATTAAAAAAAATTACCATTGAGCCAAATTCAAGACATCATTATCATTCCCTAAATATCTAAGACCAAAATCCAAGTCTTCATGAGGAATCCTAAAATGGTAATATATTACTCGGGGTACAGAGTAACCTAGCTCTAGCATCATTGCGTCTAGTTCATAAACTGAGAACTCATCAATGTCTACTAAATCAATATATCGCACTTCACCTTTAACATATTTTGTGTTTGGAAGCTTGGTAAAATTTCCACCATGGTGTAGCTTTATGGTGAACATTGTTGGTACACGCTCTACAAGATACAAAAAACATGAAGAAAAAAATTATCAAATGTTTTTATTTTTGGCTCTGTTCTTCAGATCATCAAGAAACCCAAGAAAATTTCGTAAACAGAGGATAAGTGAAACTTACCATATTCATTTGTGATGTCATACGTCTCGCCTTTTAGCCTAATCGCCCACATTACGAACACCATTGACAGTAGAAAAGCAAAAACAAGTAAACACCTTGGAGCAAATCTTGATTAGGGTTTTTGCGTTTGCGTTCAAAATGAATGACGAAGAAGATGGAAGTGGAAGAGATAACTAAAATATTTTTTGTGTAATATGGCGCTAAGACAGAGAGTAACAAGTGAGTTTATTTCAGTAATTGTAAAAATGGTCCCTCAAGTAAAAATACATTTATGCCCTCGTGTGCAATGCACGTGAGGGGTTTAACGGCCACAAACAAACGGAAGTTAACTGCAGGGACTTGTTCCACAAACAAACCTCTCAATAAGGACCAAAAATCCAATTTTTAAAAGGTTTAGACCATATCCACAAAAAATGCCAAACCACATGGACCATTTTTGTATTTTTGTCCCGGGATGGTGTGCAAAAAAAAAAATCCATGGCCACATAGACAACGATGGCCTTCGTCGAAGGTATACCAGACGACCATAGTTTATTGCTCCCCTTTTATCTTTGGTCTTCTTTCTTTCAAGTGAACTATTTAATTTTGACTATTAGTTCCTGTATCACTTTTATATCCATTATTTTGACCTCTGGTTGATTAAATAAATGTGAACTATTTAATTTTGACTATTACCTCCTCAATAGAGTCAAACAGGTCATGCATTATAATGTTATATCTCCTAGATCCATAGATGTTGTTTTCAAAAGAATTAGTTTTGTCATCTAGAAATGGCTAGCGAAACAACTTGTTGTCCGTTTGCCTTCCATCGATATGTATTGAACTATATTTGATTTCAATCAATTACACAAAAAAATGGAGAAAAAAAAAACTAGTACTTTTTTTTTTTTTAACTTTTTTCAAAAATAAGCAAAATTTAAGCATTTTCCATCAAATAACCACCAAATTTATACCCCATTTTGACACACTCAAACAACACCATTTTTCAGCATTTTGTTGTAGGGACCTTCATTTTGCAACCTTTTTCGTTGTCAATTTTCTTCAATGCAGCTTTCATCTTCTCATGTTTCTTTGGTCAGTGTGTGTTCTATATCACAGCAGGTATTCACTAGAGCCTGATCATGAGCTCATTGTCGAATATAGAGGGGCAGTTAGATTTTGGACCAATTGAAGTAGGAACAGAAAGACATTTTGAGTATTAAAGAGACTTTTAAATGGAATAGTTAATTAGTAGACTAAATGACTGCTTTGGTGTGAACGTTTAAATTGGACTAGATTGTCCATGTGTATTTACTTAATATGTTTCAGAACTTCCAGGAGTAGGAACCACCCAAATTAGCAGCAACTCATTCCCACTTAAACACATGACATTTTCTCGAGACTTCCACAAGGATTCGTAGTTTGCTAATGATGTGCACGAAAGTACCCATTAATTTTAATATTTTCAACCTAACAAACTTAGACTAACTATGCACTTATAGGCATTGTACCTAGTCAGATTATAGTATAGCTTAGGTAAGTCGGGTGTCGATCACAGAGAACGGTGGATTAATTTAATATATTTGATTATAGGTTACAAGTCACACGAAAAGAATAAAAGAAATAGTTTAATAAATCTCAAACTAATAATTAATTAACAACTCTCGATAAACTAATAGGAAAACAAATCTCTTCAGGTACTTTGGTTTAGACAAGTTACACCTTAAAAACATAGACAATTGCATACACAAAGTCATTTATTCATGTTCACCGATTCCTAAAATGATTAGATTCGCGTTCACTATAACTAATCCTTTAGCAAACAAGTCAATTCAAACAGTGATCAATTGGTTAAACTAACATGCTTCCTAGTGTTCAGTTCGTATCAAGCAAGACTTGCAAATATAGTTAATCAAATTAGACATTCAATTAACCTCTTGTTGATGGTCATCAAACAAGGCTCACACATTAACTTACTTATTCCCAAGTTAATCCTAGTTTCACATTCGTTATTCCTAGACTCATAATCTCGATGGTCATCAAAATCATAAGAGACAAGCAATCAAGCATATGTTCATACAACTCAATTCACTTAACAATTAACAGCAAATAAATATCATTAATACGTAAGGATCTTTTAACAAGCTTGGCAAGATAAATTAAACACAAACAAACTATCCAATATAGCAATTAGTCTAATAATCAAAGCTTCATTCAATCATAAACACAAAGTAAAAGGTTTTTACACCCAAGTCAGAAACTAAATACAGAATAGTAACACAATGGAATGCTAAACATGGTCACATTAACAGCCCATATGATTACCGACATGTATCCACTCTCCAACCCTTCCGATCTCCGCTCCCGTTAGCTTAACGGCCTTACGGCCGCCTTCTAGACCCTCAAAACGGCTTAACAGAAGTTAATTATCGACTAAATTAGGTTATAAGTCGAATCCCCTCTCCTGGTTAGCTGAAAATCGACTTTTATAACCTTTGTAGCCGACTTAAGTACGCGGGGCGTACTAAGGATCACGACGCAATTAAACTTATCCGAGGCCAACCAGTACGCGGGGCGTACTGTGATTTTGGGCACTACACTTAGCGTACAAGTGTATTACGTTGGGCGTAAATGGTCCTCCAACATTTTTCTTTCTTTTAGCTTCTAAGCCCGGTTTCCGCTTCAGTCTTTTCTTTTGTTCCTTATTGACAACGAATAGCTGCAAAACATAATTCAAAGTATTATGAGTAGTTTTTAGTTCTAAAAGAGAATAATAAAGGCTAAAATATTAAGATAAAGTGCATATATATATATATATATATATATATATATATATATATATAAATACACATATCAAAATACCCCACACTTAGCCTTTGCTTGCCCCCAAGCAAATTTACTTTTATTTTACCAATATTGACTAAACAATCCATTTAAAACTCAGCCATTATGCCAAGACCACAACGCATGCATTTGTGTCTAAAATTTTCCTAAAGTACCCCCCCCCCCCCATACTTTAAATACTCACAATCTTCATAAACACTTGCCCACTTTTTCCGAACAATGCTCATTTTATGCAACCCTCCAAATCCATCCGCAGAAAATCTCCTAACCTCAAGGTATTTTTAGTTGAGCAACCTAAGCATACATTATCTAGAATTCCAATTTATGATACCACTATGGAGCTTTTTAGGAATTCTTCACTTTTTTGATAATTTGATCTTTGATTACTTTCAAATTCACCACCTTATTTGATTTGATTTCTGGTATCTTCAACTTTTTGAATTTCTTAGAATTTTGATCTTTTGATCTTCACTTTATTTGCTCCAAAATTCATCAAACTTTACTCGTAATTCTCTCATTTTTTTTACATGTACCTCTCTTTTTTCACTCAGAACCTACATGCTTAAGCAGAGGCGCTCAACCTCAACCTTTGTTGGTTAATGATAATAATTTTCCTGGATACATTTCAGGTTTAGGCTACTAAATATATTGCATCCTTCAAACCGAGCGGGGTTATGTTTTTGTTCCATGATTTCACTAAAATAAGGGAAGCCACAAATGCACTATAACGTATATTGGCTCAACTAAACATTTGAGTTTCCATCGCATCATTTCATACAATATTAGCAAAATTTTAAATTATCACTAGATTTTTCTAAATTAAGCTATTATTTCAAGTTTTTAAAAATTTTAAATTTCCCTAAATCTAGCAATTTCCAACTATTATTTCATTTTTATAATTTACTTTTACCGACCCCCTACCCCACACTTATTTCATACAATGCCCTCATTGTATGTTAAAACAAATTAAGAACATAAAAAGGGAGAAAAAGGAACAGACTCCCCTGGGTAGTTGTGGCGAGATCGAATGGGGCTGCTACAGGTTGCTTCAAATATTGTTGAAAGACTGGAACTGGAACTGCTGCTTCTGAATTTGCCGAAAAATAAAATCAAGACCGTCGTCTTCAAAAATGTGGTGCAAAATATTGCAAACAAATGCAATGTATAATAACCATGACGTGGGAAAGTGTCGACCACGTCGTCTCGTCATGAATGACATCCTCTTCTCGTGATGAAAAATCCCCCACAACATAGGAAAGTGTCAACCATGTCGTGGCAGTCGGGATGATACTTCTTCCTCGCGTCGAAATACAACTCTAATAAATATGCGCCTCACACTTATGACAAATTGTGGGTCATGACTATAATCTTTGAACTCTCATACGACTCTCTCTAGCAACAATCGAACCTAGCTGCTGAACTTACTGCCAGCTTTCTAAGAGCGAAAATTCTGCAGAGATCTAAACAACCAAAGAGCATCAACATGGAAAACAAAAGTAAAACAAACTAAATTAAAGATTAATTACACACCAAATAAAAATACTAAACTAAACTAAAAATAACACAAATAAAAATAAAAATAAAAAGGATAAATAAATCACTCATCATCTCCATCATCATGCTGCTGTGTCCCAGAAGTACCGGCCCTATCATATCGTGACTGGAATGGTGGTGGATAGGGAACCGAATACTGAAACCCTTGGTGGGCAAAGAATGCGTTCAATGCATTCCCTTGCCACTGCTGTTGCCTATCCACATGTGCAACATACTCACTAAGGTTCTGGACCCTCATTTCAAGACGATCAATGCCTTGAGCTAGGTAGCGCATATCAATCTCCGGCTCAGGTCCATGCTGCGCTCCCCGAGGAGCAGGTCTACGCCGCTGGACCCGTCTTGGCGGTGGCTCGGCGGCACCCTCCTCATCCGCCACATCATCTGCTCGTACTCTCAAGACACCATCTCCACCTCGCTCTAATACACGCATCGACTCTAACAGCTGAAGACTCATCGGCCTCATGTCGTGGAACACCATCGATCTCGTGATCTCACGCGTCAGCAACTGATATGATCGGGCTAAACGCGTGATAAAATGCCCTCCGCAAATCGGGTTGTCCCCCCGAAGTCCCCTGGCCCTCCGTCCCAAATATACAGCTAAAGCAACTGGAAGGTTCAGGTGCCTCCCTGGAGTAACAAGTGCCCATAGGAAATACAAGTTCGTCGAAGACACTCTCTCACTATTCTTGTGATGCGTGAGAGACATAGAAATTAACCGGTGCAACATTCGGTATGTAGTAGGCCGAATCATCCCCCCCCCCCCCCCCCGTGCGGTAGATGGTGTATAAACTCCTCCCGTAATCTCTGCACAAAAAGTGTTCTCGTTATAGTCTTCTGGCCGGTCCGTGAGACAATCAGCAAGGAATGCTGGGAAGTGGACACTCCGCGTCTGTTCGGCTGTGTAAATACCCACTCGAGTCGCAAGCTCTATCACGCTGCATTCCCGGCTCACTCCCCCAGTCTTAAGGCAACGGTTGTCCTATCATCGGGTGCCTTCCTAGGATCATAGGAAACTGTAGCGTAAAACGCCAGCAAAAATTCCCGATAAACAGGCTCCTGGATCCGGAATAAACGTGCCCATCCCTGACACACGAACAAGTCCACACCACTCGCGTCCGAGTGTGTGTATTGCAAAAATCCCTGGATCAATGCAGCTAGTCCAGTCCGGGTAGCCAATTCCCAATCGAATGATGGTGCTATATCGATTTCCATGGTGAGAAGCAAGCTCAAATTGGCGACATATCGTGCCCGGGTTGCATCATTCAGAGTTTGCGGGAATTGTAGGAAACGGTGATCAGTCACATCCTTGGGTGGGTTGGTCCTTTGCGTTCTTTGGGCCATAATCTATACAAATAAACATAAACACAAAACCAAACAAAATATAACAGCATTAATAAATTTTTAAACCAAAAAAAATAATGTTGGGTATGGTCTGTACGCTGGGCGTACATCCAACGTACTATTTTTATCTACTAATATGTTGGGTAGAACATGGGTAGATAGTTGGTGTGTAATAAACAGATGAGAGGCCTCGGTGTTGTTGTTGTTGACCTAGTTATTCAGCGGAGTATGGATAACGACCACAGACTCCTTCTAGACAGTCTCGTGGAACGCTAACAGTTTCATAACCTGTAGGTGTTGTGAACGATGTGTTCACCGGTGTACTCTATCCCCCTCATGGTTGCCTTTAGGATATCTATTGTTGAGGAAAGCCCTTAGCAGTAATGTCCGTCCCGATGAAAATCCTAGATTAGGTCCCTTGAGATAGATGTTGTTTTAGGGACGTAAAGTGAGGATAACGGGAATGGGTAATCGGGATAGTGATTGGTTGGTGGAATTAAATATAATTTATTTATTGTGGGTTGAAAACCCAATATGCTCACCAGGCTCCCAAGCCTAACCCACTCAGTTTTATTTGTATTACAGGAAGTGGTGCAAGGGCGTAAGATGGATGAATCATCGAGTTGTTTTGTTTACAAGTCTGTATATGTATATATTTGTTGAATGACTTGTAATGTTATCGTTTATGCTTTATGGTCTGTATCGGAACATGACACCCCGAGTTTTAAATATATAATGAAAATGCATCTCTTGATGAAATGCTTTGATACATATTATTTTATCATGTTTTGTTTTGGGAACAAATTCCGCAACACTTTTAAATCAAAAGGATTTACTCTGAAATTATTTAGGAAGCATAAATGAAATCAGTCTTTTCTGGCCGTGATTTTGGGGATGTCACAGGTTAGACTCGTATCAACGACTGTAAAGTTGAATAAAAGCTTTCCGAGACTCGGGGCACGAGGTTGAAGGTAACAAATCCTCTTCTTCTTCTTCTAATTTCATTTGAATTTCTCTATTTTCCTCGTCAATTTCGAGAATATGTGGGTATGAAGCGACTTTGTTTAAAACATTTGTAACCGAATCCATGTATGTTTCACCTTTGATTAATCTTCTTGAGAATTTCTTGATTCCATGCATTAAGAAGACCAAATTGTGTTTTCCGTTTGCAGTGTAGTTGTATCCGTTTGGTAGTTCTAAATGCCAGTTGTCTGCAACCAAAAACATTACAACATCAAAATATCAAAATATGATGTTTTTTTTTCAAGATTGTATTTACAAAGATACCAAATTGCTTTGTTTTTGGAAGATATTTCTATCAAGTTGGCCCTTAACCCTAGACACTAAATTTTATGAAATTAAATTGGCCCTTAACCCTAAACACCAAATTTTTGAGCACCTCCTTCAGAGACTCAGGCTAACGCTTTGTTCAGAAAAAATTTGACCTTTCAGGTTTACCTTTTTTATTTTATTTTATTTTTTTAAAGTTTATGCATTTTGATCTCATGTCGTTACAAATGCTTGTTTTAAAAGCTTGTTATTCCATTTTTCTTCAAACCAGAGAAGGAATTTCAAGACAAATGTCAGGCTCATATTATTCCCAATGTTCCTCTATTTGTTACTTGTAGCACTACAACATTTAGTGAACATTGAACTGGATAAACACTCTTTAAAATGTGGTTGCACTTGTATTGATCAAGATTGTGATGGTGAATGTAAGAGAGTGTGTGGGATTGAATACTTAGATTTGGACCAAGTGGGTACCTGTTCCATTCCTAGTCCACCTGAATGGCCTCCATTATTACAAGTACCAGCTCCACAGTATCGAGCAGTGAGAAGTGATCATTTGCTTTCATTTGGAGATTTGCCTAATGACTCTTGCACAAGTACAGGTTCCTGCCCTACAACTGTACTTATTACTGGAAATAACCAATCCCTTGGAGAGAGTATGTTGACTCTATCTCTTGCATACCCTTATTCATGTCAATGTTCTATATATACATTCTGATCAATATAAATTTCTGCTGATGTATATTAATTTGATAGATTTAGCTAGAAATATGTTCCCAGGTTCATCCAATTTTAACTCATCCAATGGTCTGGCTGATGTTGTATTGGTTAGTTACTACCTATCATCACATCTTGCAAGCACAGTCATTCATATGTACGTAATGAATATTATATTAAGAATTTATGATTTCTTTGGAACATATCAGCGGTCAACTTCGGAGACTCCGGTATCCAACATTCTTGAACCTGCTTTCTTCTCGAGTCTTCCAATCTACTATGTGCAATCTGTAAGTCCCCAAAATTGCTTGTGTATCAATCAGATCCAATTGATAGTGCGGAATCACAATCAATTGGATGATTTCAGATCAATATAGATGAGAATGAGAAGAAGAAGATGATGAATCTAATGATGTATTCAATATGAATTATGCTCCTTACAATAGATTCTCTCTCACACACACTTCTTCTCTTTAACTTTCTCTCTCTACAAGATGCTCTCTTCTACACTCAACCGTACACTCCCACATGCACTCCTCTATTTATATGGACCTCTAGCCATACACATGTGTACAGCCGCACACCCTGTTTACGTAGAGAAAATCTATTGTAAGGAGCATAATTCATATTGAATACATCATTAGATTCATCATCTTCTTCTTCTCATTCTCTTCTATATTGATCTGACATCATCCAATTGATTGGGATTCCGCACCATCAATTGGATCTGATTGATACACAAGCAATTTTGGGGACTTACAATTGGTATCAGAGCTTGGTTGTATCAATCAATTTTATCAGATATGGAGCTTATTTGATCTTATTTTGAAAAGAGAATAGCGTTTTTGGATAGATCTTGCAAAAATAAGGGGGGTTATTTCTTTGCATTTTTCATAAAAACGAGTTTTTGATCGAGTTTTAGAGCAAAAAAGGGTGAAAAACGTTATTTTTTTCGCGAATCTGTTAAAGGTGTGCGGCCCGATTGAAGGTGTGCTTGCGGGTCAGTGAGTGTGGCTCGGGAGTGTGTGGTCGGCTCGGTGTGCGGCTCGGTCTCACCTCACAAGCAGCAATCTCGCATAGCGGAAAAAAAAAACGAGTTTGAAGGTGCTACAGATTGAACCCTGGACCTTCAGGTCATTGACAAGCACGCCTTACCAACTCAGCTAAGCTGACTGTTGGTTTTCAATTTCCGTTTTTATCCTTTATACACATAGCAGCAAACAGAAAATAATCAAAAGCGAAACCGAGGGCTGCAAGAATCAAACCTGGATGCTTTGGTTCAAAAACCAAACGCCCTTTTCCAGCTGATCTAAGTTGCTAGATAGAAAAATCCTTCGAAATTTAATTCAAAACAAGTTCTTCTGGATTCAACTTTCGAAATCTCACAATTTCAACCCAAAAATCAATTTTTTTTCTCTATTTTCAACCCAATTTTTTTTAGTTATTAGTTTTTTATTTTATTTTTATTTTTGACCTTAAAATTTTTGACTTTGACTTTTAAAGGTTAACCTTTGACTTTAAATTTTGACTTTCTCGTTTGACTTTTAATTTTTCAAATTTGGCTTTTTGGTTTGACTTTTAAAATTTGAATTTTAAGGTTGACTTTCTTGGTTTTTAAGTCAAAGGGCAATTATAAATATAAAAAATATTAATAATAAAAAATTAAAAAATTAAAACAAAACTATATATATATATATATATATATATATATATAAATGATGAGTTCCACATCAATTCCGGTAAATGAAGTTTTATGTACTCCATCTTGTAAAGCTACGATTAAATTTCTTCGCGAACAAATTGATTTGCTAAAAAGGGAAAATGAGGACCTCAAATACGAAGGATATACTATTAGGAAAGGACAGAAACTGTTAAAAGCTCAATTAGAAACCAAAATCAAGGATTTCTGAAAACTCCAAGAAGATTACAGCAACAAGTGTGAAAATTATGATCACATTAAGAAAAAACTTGTTGTTGTAACTGAAGAACTTGACGCTTTGAAAATAAAGTGTGGAAAAATAGATGTTAGTTTCAAAAATTATACTGCATCAAGTAATACAGTCGAGTCCTTAGTAGAAACTCAATTGAGTTTTAAAGATAATCAAACCAAGGGTCTAGGGTATCACAGTGTGCCACCTCCTTTTAATCACAATTATAACCCAACCCTTGAGACCAATGAGGAAGAAATGCCTGCTCAGTATGGCCAAACCCCTGCTCCAGATTCAGTTAAGACTGAACAATCAGGGCCAACTGGGGGTGCTGATCTGAACGATACTAATGATTCTAGTTCATGTGCAGGTAAAGTAGCAGAGGATGAGAACAAGGAGAACACCATTAAACAAACCAACATCTTCTTGAACTCTGAATATGTTGCTTTGAATTCAACTACTTCTGATCAACCTGATGTTGGTAAATACAGGCCACCATTTCAAGCTAAACAGAGTGTCTGTTGCAACTGTGCGTGTGGGAAAAGCAAGAGACAAGGCAAGGACACGCCACCAGGGGCAGGAAGAAACAACTCCACAGTGAAGAAAAAGACATGCTTTCACTGTGGAACACCTGGACACATTGCCATAATTTGTCCTAATCGAGCATACGTTCCCTACTACGCACAAGGGTGGCAGAACACGCCAAGAGGGGGATACTAAAAAAGAAACCCCTCAAGGTCATGTTCAGACAATGGCGACTGGAATGCCACGAAGGGCAAGAGTTCAACTCCCAAGGGCAAGAAATCAAATCCCAAGGTCAAGAAGGGAAAGTCGGCCAAAAAGCCAAATCCAAGAGATGCTCCCGTGAAGCCAAAATCAAAGTTATCTCAACGGCTAGCTTCGAGTTCAAAAGCAAGTACTGAGCCACCCATCAGATCGAAAAAGAAATGGGTTAAACCAAACTACAAATGGGTTCCAAAGGATCACTCTCCCAAATCTTCTAACGACTCTAATGTTTCTTCATCTTCTATTTGTGATAAACAGGATATGTCTTGGGAGAGAGTTCCTTGCACTGATGACAAAGGTCGACCCAGTTTCAAAATGGACTGGGTTCCAAAGACCAACTGATCCCGCTCTGTGTTGGAGCAGCTATGGAGGCATATCATCAGACTTTGGTTTGTTGATAGTGGTTGCTCCAGGCACATGATAGGAGGCATCTCTCAACTGTACAACACTTAGAACATTGTTTGAGAATATGTGTCCTTGCGGGAAGGGAAGAAAGGAAGTGGTCACTCATGGGGTTTGTGCTTAACGACATGAAGAATTTTCGGATTTGTTCTGAGTTTATGTGTGCTGTTCTCAGACCTTCTAGATTCAAGTTCAATCGGTGACTTACGGTTTGAGTTTTCTTCTTTATACTCCTGAGTTTTTCTTAAGATGATTCGCTTTAAAGACAAATTTTTGTTTTAGGATAGTTTAAATTTGCGCATTTACTTTCATTTCTCTCCTATGCACAAATTTAGGGGGAGAAATAAAAACAAAAAAAAATTAAAAATTTTAAAATTAATTTTAAAAAATTAAAAAATAATATGTTGGTTATGGAATGTGCTTGAGGGAGATGTTTTGGGAAGTAAGTGATAACAGGAAACCTGAGTTTGTGTAATGTACCCAAAGTTGAAGGGTCTATGCTTTGGTTTGATGCGTCGGTAGGCACGAAGAATTTAACGGACTTGACTAGGTGCAGATGAACTTAAGGAATCTATAGACTTGACAAATCTTGACCTAGTTAGATCCGTTCAGTCTGACAATACGACGCTTGGATAGGTTGAGCAGGGAGATATATATGGGAATCTACTCGTCACATTAATTGAATCCGTATCTGGAACCGTGGTTTAACTTTTCCTCCATGTGCGGATTCTGTCCTTAATTTCGGTATTGATGGGGCGACTGGTAAATTCCGATAAATTAGGTCTGTAGAAAATCATTTTCTTTCTTTCTATCTGTTAGTCATATGTTGCCTCCTTTGCGTGATTGGAAGAGATCCGACCTGGACTGTAACATATGCAACTCTATTTCTCTGCATATTATATATATATATATATATATATATATATATATATATATATATATATATATATATATATACACACACACATATGAAATCCTCTTATCTGTTAGCCATATGTTGTCTCCTATGCGTGACTAACAATCCGACCTGGTACACAGCATATGCACTATAAGTGATAATACTCTGAATCTATCTTCTCCCCTAATGATGGTCTGCTCATCCGATGTAAGGAGTACTCTGGAAGTCCTTAATTACCGGGGCATATCTAGAAGCGGGAAACATGTTTCGGTACAATTAAAACTGAACACTCAAAGATTGTCTATAGATCTTGCTGCCCAATTTAGGTGGACAACAATATCCCTGGTCGTCGTCAGCTGAATGGTCCTTAAGATATAGTATCTAGAAAATTAGGATCATATATAATATCTAGGAACTTAGGATCACATTGTCTTGTCACTTACAGTATGTCCTAATTTTGTCACAATTTTTCGTGTTTAAGTGGACAACAATACCGGTGATCGACTAGACAAAGACGTGAAGATAAAAGGTACCGACAAGCGGATAAAGGTTGTCTAAAAACTTTGATCCCAAATCATTCTTAAAGTTAGATATCATTTTATTTTTGTTAAATTTGTTCATAGTTTAACTCTATGCACATATTTTAAGGGGAGAATTAAAAATAATTCAAAAATCAAACAAAAATCAGAAAATTAAAATCCAAAAATAGTGTTATTTCTTGTTCAGAAAAATCAGAAAATCCAAAAATATTTTTGTTTCTATTTTTATTTTTCCAGAAAATATATAAAAAAAAACCAAAATTTTTTTTTTTTTTTGTGTGCTAATTTTTCTTTTAGTTTAGTTTTGTCTTGAAAAGTGATTTCAGGCGTAGATAAGACTCATGGAGTTTGTGTTGAAGATTTCTGAGCCAAGGCTTAATCTATGAGCATCGAAGAATTCGCATTCGGAGGAGCAAGAAATGAAGATTATTCTTTCGACATTCCATCCTTCAACCCCAGAAGCAAGGTGAAGCTGAAATTGAAGAATATGTGACAGATTGCATTGAATCCTCCTTAATCAGTCTGCTGATATTTTTGTACCTGCTGAAGTGATCTAGAAGATTATTTCTCTCTGATAGTTCTCTTTGAAGATTCTCAAGATGAAAGTGCTATCTTTCAAGAATCCTTTTATCAAGCCTCCTCACCCAATGTGCGATCAGAATCAAATATTGAAGAAAATGCCCAACCGCTCAAGATGAAGTCATTCATAGAAGATTCATATGTTCATCCTAAAGCTGTGAAGAATTTGAAGATTAATGTGGAAGCCAAGTTCCCAATGAAGATTAACAAGAAAAGCCAGCTAATTTTTAGGGGGAGCTTGTTAGGTCATTTAGAAAAGAAAGCTATAAACCAAGGGGGAGATTGTTGGGTCAAAAATATGGTTTATACTTTGCTTTTCTAGGAAAATATATTTTTTATGTAATTTTGTATGTGATTGCGGTTTGTATGTACGGCCGTACACGTGTGTACGACCGCACACCATGTGTATGGACATACACAGGGTGTGCGGTTGTACACATGTGTATGGCTAGAGGTCCATATAAATAGAGGAGTGCATGTGGGAGTGTACGGTTGAGTGTAGAAGAGAGCATCTTGTAGAGAGAGAAAGTTAAAGAGAAGAAGTGTGTGTGAGAGATAATCTATTGTAAGGAGCATAATTCATATTGAATACATCATTAGATTCATCATCTTCTTCTTATCATTCTCTTCTATATTGATCTGACATCATCCAATTGATTGGGATTCTGCACCATCAATTGGATCTGATTGATACACAAGCAATTTTGGGGACTTACACAATCTCAGTGCCAAGCAAACTCCACCTTTTCTATTTCAGTCCCAGTGGGGTCCACGAAAGTGGAGAAAGGTATGAATTATCTCGATGGTGTTAATTGGTGTGAGTTCTTTCTTTTGTCCGCATCTTATTTTTGCTGTGTGTGTTGAATCCTAACGATA